AAAAAAAAACCACTTAGAATTTTTTGCATGCAGTAATAATTTTAAAGTAAATTTCATTCAAAATATTTTATTATAAAACATNNGGAGTAGTTAGGAGTTCGGAGACTTGACAGATTCCTTGTGTTTTTAGAAATTTATTAAATTTGTCTAAGAATCGATTTTATTTTAATTTTATATTCCTGTTAACCTTTTGACGAGGGTTGATTTGTTAGACGAAGTCTATCAAGTGTATTGCGCAATCGTGGGATGATTCGTGTTTGTTGGTTCGTCGGTTTCGTAGATGGATTGTGTTACCACAGGTACTACACTCGATTGACACTTGAAAATCGACTTACTCGAATGTAAATTAATGAGGAGGAAAAAGATTGAAAGATCGTGGATATGCATTTCTTTCAAAATTAAGATGGATTAAGATAGCCTTTAGACCTTTTTAACATCTTTCAACTTTTATATTATGCACTTACGTTCTACGTTTTTTACATTTTAAAATTCTTCGTTGTAATTTCTCTCAGCAGTAAGTATACTGGAAAAAGGGAATTCTTAAATGATTTAAATAATTCAAAAAGAAAAATTAATTTTCTCATACCACTTAAAAAAAAACCACTTAGAATTTTTTGCATGCAGTAATAATTTTAAAGTAAATTTCATTCAAAATATTTTATTATAAAACATTACTTTATTCTACATTTCTTTAATATTGAAATAAAAACCAAATTCTTATCTGACATTTTTTTTTATATAAAATAACTTACAAAAAAATTACCAAAATTATCAACTGATGTCAAATGATAATGTTCACAGATTTTTTTTTATCGTTCAAAAAGAACGAAATTATCATAATAAAGGAAATGAATCTTAACTCTCCTCAATCTAAAGATTCCTCAATATGGGATTGCGGGTTTCAAATTAGCAGGTTTGAAGCTAGGGCGGTAGGCTAACTGAGAGGGAGAGGGCGGATTAATCCGATTTGCATTTAATCAGTTCACGAAACGTGCGATGAATATTCAAAACACACATCCAAGCGTTTTGCTTTCTCGTCGAAGTGTTGCATCAGCCATCTCATCATTGCGCGCTTATCTTTCTTCTCCATTACTTTCTTCTTCATTGCTCATCTATCGTCAACTTTTTGGCAAAACATTGTTAAAAGCAATTTGTTTCAACTTGCGTCTGAATGAGGAACAAATTATAATCATCTCGATCAATAATAATTATCGAACGATTATTCTAATCTAATTAATCAAATCTTCATAAATCTTCTTTCTTCAATGAAGTTGAAGGTAATAATAATGTAATAATAGAAATAAATTGTATCTGGACTGATCAATAATTGAATCACTCTCCAGATCTAAATCTTCCTTCTTCTTGAGGATAATTGTAAAGTAAATCATATCTGACTCGATCAATTATCGAATAAGTCCAAATCTTCTGTTTCTTCTTGAAAGCAAAAATGAAAAGTGATCGTAACGATGGAAATAAATTAGATAAGTGGAAATGCAAATAATGAATATTTGGAAGTGGTGAAAGAACAATGCGAAAACAAATGAATTCTTCGTTTGTCGAATGGTTAACACGTCACACTCGAATCACAAGATATCCTCTGTTCCGTACGTTATTGCTTGCATAAATGGATCACGAGTTATCTCGTGCTTTATCACCGATGAATATTCATTAATATCGAGCAACTACTCAATTTTTAAGCAAATTTGCCTTGCTTGATCAACCCGTATTGATGATATTTGACAATGGTTAAGAGCTTCTCGATATTCAAATTAAAGCCCTTTCTTTGATGTGTCAAAGTACGTATACGATCACTTCTTTGTACGTTTATTGATTCGTAGTTTTATTTCCTTGTAAAATAAACTTCATAAATATGATTCCATGATAATATACGATTTAAATGTGTGAAAATTATCGAAGACAGTCATCTAGTTTCTCCTGAAAAATTGGATTAAAAAAAATTAGAATTGAAAAATTGAAAAATGGAATATAAATTAATTCAGAAGAGACTTTTTTAAAAATTGGAATTTTCTGAGTGAAATTTGAATCGAATCTTCATAAGCGTAATATTTTTGTTTAATTTTTTAATGAAACCACTTGGAAAATGGAAAATAGAGATGTCTGTGTAAGAAGGATTTTCACTCGAATTTACGAAGATATAGAATTTCGTGATGGTTGGAGCGGGAATCGGGGTGCAAAAAGCATGCATCCTCGAAATGCAAATTTGAGAAATTGTCCATGTTAACCGTGGAAGCATTATAAAACATGAGGTTCCATTAAAACGACGCGAAAATGGCTTCACCGCAACCGGCTCTTTTATTATTAATTTCCACTCCCTTTTTCTCTTTGCCGCGCGAATTACGGTTCCAGCAAAATCGTTGAAAGCGAGAAACGCTAGGAGGCGCGATTCCTTTCGCGAAAACGGCACTTTCGTTTGCTTCGAGCTATGAACAGATGCGAACAGATTCTATGTGCATATTTAATTAACCGATTTATCGGAAAAGCAAACGGACGATGTCATAAAATGAAGCAAGGATGCAATCTAATTACAAAATATCGAATAAAGTAATAATTCATGGAGAAACAGTTCTAACAGCTTTCTAATCAAAGATTTTATCGCTTGAAATTTTTTTCCCCCGTCCAATATATCATTTTTTCATATATATATAATTCCTTGTCTAAAAATAATCAAACGATTTATTGAGATGAATATTAAAAAACTTTCAAGGATGATTCTTAAATAAACTTCCATCATCCCCTTTCTTATCAAAAATACATACAAAAAACAATTCGTTCCAAGGTTATTTAGAAAAGAGTATCGTTTAAAGCGCAACAAGCTTTCTAAATAAAGGTGTAAAAGTGTAACTTTCCATCTCAAGCCAAAAAAAACGATACAAATGAAAAAATTTACACAACCATTTCCGAATCGCGTTGTTCGAAACGAGAACGAGAGCGCGCCACGGTGAAAAGTGTGACACTCTCCGCTAGAGAGAGAGAGAGAGAGAGAGAGTGGAGAGTTATAATTTCGCAGCGTGAGAGGGGGATTGGAAGAAAAAAGAAAAAAGAGGGGAGGAGGTAAAAGAACGCGCGGCCCGCGTTCGTTTCCGCGGTGTCCCGTTTCCACGTTCGTGGACGAGCCCCTTGAAGAAAGCTCATCCTCTTAGCAGCCTGTTAAATATTCACGAGAAGCGGCCGTTTGAGCGTGCGTTACGTTGAGTCGACGAGTTGCGGGACCTCGACAGATCCAAGGGGCGAGGAAAGGGAGGGGATGGTTCACCTGGCGTCGAGCTACGAGGCCCTCGAGAATGCTTTTCCTGCTCCTTCCTTCCTTCCTTCCTTCCTTCCTTCCTTCCTTCTAACCCATCTTGGCTACCTACCAGACAAAAGCCTCGTTAAGATTTCCACCTTGAAAATTACTGCGCGCCCGATTAAAAGGGGTGCTCGGTTTCATTAAACCTTCAACCGTTCTCCGCTTGTTTATGCGTCTCCCCTATTCCTGTGCCGCGGACAAGCGTTTCGCGCAACTGTCGCCCGAGATATTCTCGCTTTCTCGGATAAATGTGAACTTTGGTCGAAGGAGAGGGGAGAGAATTGTTGAGAGTTGCTTGATCGTTGCTCGAACGAGGAGTAACGGGGTAATTGGATATTGTAGAGAGATTCTGAAAATGCGTGATTTTGAATCGAAGAAACGTTTCCTTGCTCGATTAAATTTTCGTTCGTAAATATATATATACATTTTGACGAATGATCGAATGGTAAGGCGACGAATCGATATATTGGTCCAGGAAAGTTGGCGAATAATTTTTTTGGTGGATTTAAGTGGATTGGATATCGAGTGGAACGATAGATAAGTTAAGTTTAAGCATGTCTACAGGAAAATATTATTATACGAGCTTGTAAGAATTACATTTCTCGAAAAATTGTGAATACAATAATATTATTGTATTATGTTTATAATTATATTTTAACTTGGAAAAGCTTACACAGAGAATAATTCCCCAATTAAAATTGCGGAGATATAATGGAACGTGCGTCGTGATAAGACAAATTCAATATTCCACTCTCTCAAACGACGTTGATCACTAATTAAGTTACTCGAGGCAAATCCGCGAATATTGCTGGAGAATCGTCGATAATGATAGGAATTGTTCGTTAAATGGAGTTTATAATCCGTTTATCCAAACGTATATTACATTATATACGTTTAACTCGAACAAATATCATGTTCCAATAAATCAAAAACAATCATCAAATCTGAATCGTTTTTAAATTCTTAATCGTTTTTAATTCTTAAACTTCGTTCATAAATATTACAATATAGAAATAGAATTTAAGCAAGATTTTTTTTTTCCACATTAATAAAAAATCTTTCGTTCGAATTCAAAAGATTTCAATTCTTCTTATCACTTCGCGATCGTTTCCATTCAGGATCATCGAGCTTCTCTCACAAATTCCCAGAGGCTTCCTATTCCTATTCTAGATCCAACAGCGGAAACTTGTCGCAATATACTTCGAACCACTCGATCCAGATTCCCTTGGAGCTTGGAAAAGATCTCGTAATACGAAAGATTCAATGAATTGGTCAAAGAATCCCGAGTAACTTCCCCATAATCCACCTAATCGCCATTTCCTTTATATATCGTTGAAACTGTGCATTAGACCAATGTATCGAGATTCGAAGTGATTCTTAAATTATTCAGTTTAATAATTTCAACCACTACCTTCGAGTCCGACTTATAAACTCTTTGACGGGTCTTAACCTTTTTATCGTCTCTCCTGCTCGAGATGAATTTTAAGGATGCTCAACATCTCTAAAGTACACCTCTAAAGCTACTTTCTTTTTTCTGCATTCTGTGGTTTACAGTCCTCTGTGGCAAATCTCTTGATTTCGTATCAGGATTTTTTTAATTGGAATTTCTTGGAATTTGGTTGATCCTTGTTTGGAAATTCGAATATTTAGTCAACTTACTTGTTACACCGTGGTTAATTTATTTATACAAAAATATACAAGCTTACAAAATGATATACATATGGTTCTTAAACTATATAATAATTTGTTTAATAATAGAAAAAAATTTGTCAAATCGCCTTGATAAGTCACAAATGCAATAATTGTTTCAGTTTAAACACGTGTTTGTCAATGCAAAACGAATAATATATTCTTGAAATAAAATCTCTGAGAATTGCATACGTACAATTTACGTATAGAATCGATGAAAATTAACATCGGTGGGATTAAAGTTGGATTTTCTCGTTATCATTGAATAAATCTAATAAATCTATGGATAGTTTCAATTGCTACAGATACAAATTCTTACATTAATTTCTTCGATTGATCCATCAAATTGACAAGCTTTGTATCGAACAGATCGAAATATCTGCCCGTTAGGTATTCCATAATAATTTGTTGTGATAGCGCTTTTTAATTGTCCTGTAGATTTTTCTTTTAATCGACATGATTTACGGCAGTTCTGATCGAAATTCGTTCGTTTAATTGTTTTTCAATTAAGAATTCGCGCAGCGATCAGCATTGACGTTGATTAAATCTATATTATAACAATATGAAAATATATGTAAAACTATTTTGTACCTGTTTACTAACTTAATTATTAATTTACGGTGTCAGTTCCATCGTTCTCGTCGACAATCTGATAAGTTATCAATTATATATAATTAATTTAACGCGATTAAATATAAATTTATGATGCCGACCATGTCATCGAAACCGATGGTTATAAATCGAAGAAGCGTCGAATTTAACGACCCCAACCGGCCCTGTAACAAGGAAAATTTTAATTGAAAATTATTATATATATATATATATATTTCCGAGAATTAAATATACACGTGTGTGCACGCGTGTAATTTTATTTTCGTGCCCAATATATCATGCACTTTGGCCGAAGAAACTCGATTATTAATAGAATACAATTAACCGGCGAACAATTAGTCAATTAACCTTCTAAAATTTAATTTCACGCACTGGGAATTTTCGTGTTTTAATCTAAACGCTGAACGTCGATAATTGTTAATCGACAATAAATTTCCTTACCCAATGTTGGCGTACGATATGGTAGATGATCTTCGTTCTAACTGGAAACTGCCAACATCGATGTCATCTTGGTCGTAGTATGGTCTGACGAACCAAAACGCGTATGGATAGTACAGAGTATTTTTCGGTGCGACCACTACGCCATCGTCTGCACATCGAATCCAAATTATTAATCGTTTACATTTCCACGAGTTTGTTTAATTTTTCACAAAGACTTTTAAAAAAAAACTAATATTTACTACGCGTTATTTATCATAGCTTAATTTTTCACAAAGACTTTTAAAAAATTAATATTTATCATCATCATCATCATCATCATCACATTTCTTAGCTTCATTTTCGAGTATAAATATTTTCAAGGACACGATATATTTTAATGTTCAAAGGATTTTAAAGTTTTTATCGATCGGTTAAAAACTTACTGCTTCGCTGAGGAACCGGTTTCGCGACGACGATAGTCAAAACTAGGAAGACGATGCAAACGACAGACGCCACACTCCTCGTCATGTTCTCGCTTTCGGACGAATGGGGAAGCTCGGACGTAGTAACCGAAGTCTAGTTTTTGTCTGCTGATCCCTGATACCTTGATCCTCTCTTATATACAAAAGCGGTACGCACCATGACACACTGATCTGTTTGTGCTGCAACAAATAACCTGTTAATCGCAAAACGCATCGAGAATGACGAATCTTGCTAATGAGAACCGCAATCTTGGATAGGTCGCGTGTAAATCGTTTAATTCGTTTCGCATGAAAACAATTTAGTTTCGTCCGTTAATACGTTGAACAATATCTCGTGTGTTTATTCTTTGCCTTTTACGGGGTATTGTGTTTCGTTGAAAAACGGAACATTGTATCTCTGGTAAAAATTTGTTTCTAAATAAAATTATCAACTTCGAAAATTCGAGTATTGAATGATATTCAATGAGGTCTTTTAATATTGTTTTTCATCGAACAGTTGGAAATTAAAAAAAAAAAAAATCGTTTCAAGCTTTAATATTCGATTTCCTATCGCTGTTTCGATTCGTAGCATGATTTAATATTTTTTTAATTTGAGAGTCGCGTTGCAACAAGATCGAAAAGATGTTGTACCTTGCATTGTATCTTATTATTATTTCCAAGAACGAAAAAGTACCTTTGTTCCAACGAAAATCGTCTCCCCCGGAATACATGGAAATCTATAATTTTCTCGAGAAACAATCAATACCGCGAAACGCGCGACGCAGAACGTGCGAAACACAGAAATTATGAGGAATCTATCTAAGTTGACACACGTGAATTTACTACACACATCATCGTTCCGATCATCGTTGTCAATTCTGACGATTATACCGCAAATTATTCGCGAGTTAGCATAATCATCCGTGGTATCATCGTATCTTGGCTGAAATTAATCGCCGTTAAATACCTTATCTCGACCATACCTACCTGTTTACCATCGTTTAATGCCACTTTTCGTTATCATTATCGTTGCCAAATTAATGTAATTTCCTACTTAGGCACACGCACTCTATTATCGTTTACGCTCGTCCGACCGATAACTAAACTCCTCCTCCTCTTCCTCCCCCTTCTCGATGTGGCTGCACGATAACGGGAATAACATAATTAGTTTCGGTAATTATCAACGAGTTGTAGCGGCCTTCTCGTACACGGAATTAACGAATCCATATTATGGCATATTTATGGAGTAACGCTTGTATTTGCAGATCCAAACTCTCGAGATAAGAAGAAGAATACACATATCCGAGAATAGGATCTGAACTGTTTCTCTGTGGAGAACGTTAAGAGAAGAGAATTGCAATTAATCGGAATAAAAATCGGAACAATTATTGTTTCAATCGAAAAAATTCGTCGAAATATTTTTAATCTACTGATATCCGTATAAATGTCCTCTTTCTTTTTTAATATCATCATATCTCGATCGAATCTTAATTTATTCAATCCACTCGTAAAAATCTTTCGATTCGGATTTCAAATTCACCGCGTCTCGCGAACGATATCGATTTCTCGCAAGTAATATCGTCTGGAGAAGGAAACTCGTCGTCCGTTGAACGGTGTCGCGGCAACGCCTTTGCTACCAATAACCCTTCCTCCTTCTCCGTGGAAACTTGCGAGATACTTGTTTCATAAAGGCTATCGCCACGGTTGGTCGTTAAGAACCCCCCTATCCGATTACGATTGTTGCCAACGTCTTATGGCTTTATGATACCGCCGCTACTTTAAACTACTAATGCAATTTCGCGGTACAATGAACAATAGGATCAGTGGAAAGTTCGTACTATCCGATTGAACTCGGGCTAATTGGTGGAGAGTTAGCATCATCGATGTATCGTGTAGTCGGAGAGAGCCACGGATTTCTTGCTTTCGCCATTTTGGAACGCTTTCATCGGATTTGCATTGATATCTGTCTGAAAATTTATTAATAAAAATTTAATTCAACGAAGAATTTCTCTATCGATGACTTTTTTTTTAGCAAAAATTGTTAGAGTCTCCAAAATATATCGATAAAATTTCTGTCTGTGGAAAGATCAACAACAATTATTCTATAAGTATCTTGTCATCCTGTCCACTAAACGAATATCTTATTCAAAAAATGGCTACGTCGTAATTTCATTAAAAAAAAAAAAAAAAAAAATAGCATCCAAAGAGGCGTTTTAATCAAAGACGAGACAAGGAGATGATTCTCTAATCGATTGTCGTTATTTAGATTGGCAACGACGACGAGCAAACCGAAGAAATGGTCGACGACCAACCTTTAAGTCTTTGTTCTCGCGCGGAAAACCTGTCCACCTGACTGGTTTCTCCTTGCTTTTTCACGTGCTTCTGTATTGTCTCTCCGTACACAGAAACGGAAAACACACGGTGTCACGTGCGGCATAGTGAATGGACACGAACGTTCATTGAATAGTTAAGATCTGGTGGTGGCGCGCTTCCGCTGGTAACGACGACGACGCGGGCTTTGTTCCTTTCGTCGAGGTAGGCTCTCTCGTTTTTTCCTACCTGGAAAAAATCGAAGTCGAGGTATTTTACGAAGCTCTGTTGATATCTCTTCGAAAAAATTGACTATCGATTTCACGTTTATCTGATGTATTATGGAAAGCTGGATTAACGAGAACTTTTTTTTTTTTTTTTTTGGAAAAAAATTTGAAAAATTGAAAGTACGAACTTCAAAGTGATGGCATTTTTTTTAAAATGATTTTTCTCTGTTGACGAAAAATTGGATTTCGTATTTTCAAACGTTTGGGCATTTTTTTTTTTTTTAACTTTTTTCTTCTTTCTTTTTTTTTTTTATTTTTTAAATAGAATAAATGGAGGTTTTTTTTTTTTTGAAAAGATGTTGAATTAACGCGTAATTAAAAGTAATTATGCGAATAATTTGATGGAATATTATATGGAATATTTTATGAAAATTTTATTTTTGTCAACAAGCATTTAGATTCATAGAAGATAACGTTAATGGAATTTAATTAAAAGAGACTTATCTTAATTAAAATGTTCTTATCTAATCATCTTCTTATATGCAAATGTATTTTTCATGTTCAAAATGTGTGACAAGTACTTACGTCGTAACGACATTGAAAGATTCTACGATGAGAAACAGAGTTATCAAAAGAGAGAGAGAAAAAAATAAATAAAAGAACAACTTTTTACCGACTATAATTGTAAAGAGTTATGAAAAATACGATTGCAGGAAGCCGCTCCAAAGTTGAAAAAGCGCGATGTAGAAAGAAAGAAAGAAAGAAAAAAAAGAATTGAAAGAGAAAAGAAATAAAAAGCGAAAGCAGGGGGAAAAAATTTTATGCTTCGAAATAAAACTTTTTGCCTACAGGAGGAAAAGCAAACAACAAAGTTGTAAAAATATCCCATTGATACGATAAAAATCTTCAAAATATTTTATATCACGTTACAACGCGACACTGTAATTTTCCGCAAAGGAACAATATACTCGCCCGTTCCAATCCCTCAAAAAGCAGCGGAAGCGGGCGACGATCCAATTAACCGAATTGCCGTAATAATCGTGGCGCGGAAACAACAAAATCCATTGGCCATCCGCGGAGAAACATCGCCCCGGTATTATATGCAGTAATTATCCCGAATTACGTAGCGTGTTTAGTTTCAGTTGATCCACGTCGCCATCAGAAATTGCGCGATGGGCCCGTTGCTGTCGTGCTGAACACGCTTGTTATTTGATCCAATGACGGCTCGTAAGCTTGGCCACCGTAATCGTCGTGAGAGCCGCCATTGTCCAGGATGGTTGGCCGATACGTTGCAAAGATTATTGCCCTTGGCACACATTCGTGCCTCGTTCAACACAAATTCAACCAGATCGCCTCCCTCGCCCCTGTTCGACGATCGTCTTCCAACTGTAATCGAGAAATGTGACCGGCTCGAGGGAAATGGCGCGTGAGACGATGCCGTTCCATTTTTTGTTAAGGAAAAATTTTGGTCTACTTGAAATTCGTTTTATCCATTTCTTCTCGTTAATCGCCAACAGAAGAAATTCGCTTGGTATAATAATCGATGATCTCAAATTTAAGAATTATTAAATTACAAAGCCTTTGGATTATTGTTTAATTTCTAAAAAAAAAAATTGCATTATTTCTCCAATCTGAAAATTAACACCAACAACTGCAACACGTGAATCTCAAAGAGATCGATGTACTTACGCATATTTGTACAAAGATTTACGTATTCTTAGAGCATATTTAACTCTCGAGCTTCTCTGCTATCAAGAGAAAGAAAAAAAAAAAATTGTATCATTTCTCCAATCTGAAAATTAACACCAACAACTGTAACACGTGAATCTCGAAGAGATCGATACACTTACGGATATGTGCACAAAAGTCTATGTATTCTTAGAGCATCCATATTTAGCTCTCGAGCTTCTCTGCTATCAGGAGAAGGAAAAAAAAAAAAAAAAAGAAGAAGATAGGAAAGGGGTTGCGTCCCATGATAAATCTAGTCGCGTGTCGGCCAGCCATCGATCCCTTAGCCACTGATCCATTGTCGTCTTGTGCCGGGTAATTCCTCGTGCAACAATTTCCCTTTTCTTCACCCTTCTTTTACTCGAAACGAAAAAGGATCCTCTTTCCTCGTCTCGTACGTGCTCCAGTCCGATCACGTTTCGCTCAACGGGCTGCTTTTCGACTTTCACGGCCACTTTTGGGATTCGAACGAGTCCCCGAATGCTTTGCCAATACTCTTTCGTCGATGTCGCGGATTTTTGTCGATCGAGATCCCTTTGGAATCGCTTGGGATTTGGAGCGCGATTGTCCCGCTATGTAATAATAAAGAAACGGGAATTGAATCGTTGGATCTGAGAGTTCCGGTGTCTTGAAGAATGATTCGAATCGGAAGTTAATCGAAAAGTGTATGCGTATTCTTCGATGCGGTCAATTGGTTTGGAGGAGTGGCGCGGAAGTTGTTGTTGGAAGGTGTGTATGTGTGTGTGTATACACTTTCAAAGAACGTTTGATGGTTCACCGCTCTCTTTAATTTCTTTACCGTTTAATAGAATGCGAATTGTGAATCCAGTGAAGGAATTATACATAGTATAAATATAGAGGAATTGTTATCTGTAATTGTAATCCTTTGTAGATTATAGAAGATTATAAAGATTCAATTCATCAAAGTAGAACTTTTGTTTAATGAATATAATGAATTTTTAATTTAAAG